AAAAAAAAAAAAAACACATCATTGAAAAATCAATACATTCATCACTTCGTTCAGAATCTAAAAAATATTAAGAGAATATTTTTCTGTATTTTTAATGCATTATATATCTGATTTAAAATATAAAAATCTGGTCTCTAAATATTATAATCTTATTGGCTATTGGCAATGGCATATATTTTTTTGACTGTGGCTGTATATAATATCATGTATTRTATCCATGCTAAATATTTTGATTTTTATCTAATGTATTAATTAATATTTGAAATATTATCATTTTTTAGTTGCTTACACGACTGGTCAAGCGAGAACTCCAGAATGTTGGCTAGCTCCAAAATACTCTAAAACTGATAAGACTTATAATGAAGAATGAAACATATTAGTTAGTAAAATGTCCTTGCTATCWTGCAATTGGTTAAAAGAAAAAGAAATACACAAGAGTTAACTTTTTGTATGGTTGTAATATATATCTTAGCTCCTAAGTAATATTTATTTGTATTAATATTAAGTTCTTCGTTCCATTTTTATCTCTTAGAGATTTAAAATAGTTTCAATTTTATTATGATTATAACTTTCTTTTTTTTACATTAGTGTAATTTTTTTTWAAAATATTTTGTCTTTCCCTAAGATTAACAACATGATTTACTTTAAAAAAAAAATTTATTATAACYGATTGAATGGCAAGATAATATCATCTATGCAACTTAACTTTTTTATATACTATACGTTGTGATCTGTGATCTTGTAACATTATGTATACTGCTCACTGGTATGATATAAAGATACCATTATAGTTATTTAGAGTTGTGCTTTGTATGACATATCGTTGGATTGTTTAAATTCTATTGACGTGATTCGTGCTAAAAATGAAATATATTTTATTTTATTAAAAAAAAAAACAAAAAGACTGTGGCTATTAATTATTATTATTGATGTCTTTTTATGATACCCCGGAAATTATTATCTTATATCAATAGTAGGTATTTTATTAATATCTTAAATGGTGTATATAAAACTTATTTTACATATTGTAATAATATAACCGATAAAATTAATTTTATTACTAAAAATTATACTATGCATACCACAAAGTAATGAAATATTCCATCAATTGTTATGTAACTCTAAAAAATTTAAATGTTCAATTACTTAATACTATTTATGTAACATAATATAATATATAATTATAATATCTGTAGTTAATATTATACAAAAAATAAAATCTTGTTTCTGATCACTTTGATTTGAGGACATGTATTACCATCCCAATAAACACGCACTGTGCCATCCTATGCATCCAATAAAATCTGAAATGAAATAGAATGTAGATATTGTCATAATATATTTTTTGAGCTAACTGTGTGTTCACTCTGTTTTTATGTTATTGTAAAAATAAACATTTTCTTCAATTATACCTTTGGAGTTTGCTTAACGCTTGAGGGATGGTCGATGGTGGATCCTTGAGTACATAGTTCCGTATGCCAAACACATAGTCCTTGACATATGTGTCCCACACCACTTGTGTGATGTCAACGGGAAATGTACGTCGATCAACAAACGAGATGTCTTTGTTSAGCTCCTGGATGTTCTTGCTGATAAAATCCCACTGATGAAGTGCAAAAAATTCTCCAGTCCTTGCTGCCATTTTGAAACGTCTATAAATTTTCAACATCCTGTAGAAAAAAACAGATTGTATAAGATACTACATTTAATATTGTCACTTGTTAGCATCACCCGGAGACAATCCTACATACTTWTGATGAAGAAAATTTATCTCAATAATTGTTTATAGAAATTAAGCGGGGATGAGCAGAAGAGACCCACCCACATCAAAGAAATATTAATAATAATAATTTTTAATTAATCACATTACTGTAAGTAGTGTAAGCTATGTATACTGGTGTATAAGGTCTAATGATTACTCATATTCCAAATATGTCACTGATAACTAGCTTTGGCCAAAAACTATAGTTAAAAATAATTAAAGCAAATAAAAACCTAAGTATAGTTTAAGATTGATAAATTTCCATAAATGTAGTTGCATTTTTAAAGTAGGTATTTAGAAGATATTGATGTTTAAATGGATATAATTTAAAACCTATAAAATTATTGATACTACAAAAGAACCAATCACAGTTAAAAATTCAAGTCTTGTCCAGGATTCATTTTATTAAACTTYATTTTTATGTGTTATAATATAATATTATCATATTATATTGATCCTTATAATAAACATAGACAAATTCAAGTGTACGAATGCATTMTAAAATGTAATCTGATTGATTTTAATCATAAATCTTGATCATCATTTATTTTCTCAACACTGACTTTAGGCTTTTAAGCTTGATGTGTACATTGATTACGAACATCAAGGCTAAAAGGGGTGAAGTATATTATCATGTTCTAAGGAGTAATATTTAGGCAATTTAAATGACATGAGCTATGATTATGTACGAGTAGTAATAAACATTAATATTGTGTGTTTCCGAGTTTCACTGTCGCGCCGTGTCGGGCGACCACCGCCGTATGTAACTATCACACGCGCACTCACGTGTCAATACATCGCGAAAAATGAAATATATTATTCTTGATGCATAACTAAAATCTACTATGCTCCGGCCCACCAGAGATCAGTACCGTCACGCGCATGCAGAATAACTGGCAGTGACGGAATTTCCCCCACTATGTGCCGTAATCATGGCGCACTATACATAGGGGATGCGTAGAATCTAACGAGTTTTGGTCGTATAGCGGTACTGATCTCTTGTGGGCCGGAGTATAAAAGTGGTAGTAAATTAAATATATAAGTCCATTTTGAATTTCCGAAAAATTGTGAATTCGTCAGCTTATATAGACTATGCTATTTAGGAATCACCTTTTTGATTTAAAATCAGATACGCCAAAAATATGCACAAATGTAATGCAATTATTTAATGGGATTATTGGAAAACATCTCAATTTCAAAGTCCTATAAAATTGAAAATCGRAAAATCCTAGATATTTTGTCAAAAAGTTCATATACATATTAATAATAAACAATTAAAAGCATTCTTTAGTATGTGCAATTTACCACCATTTATTGGTCTGTATGTATAATGTACAAAAAACATGTTTGATTCGATCCGCTTAACAATAAATTTGGCTAGAAAAACACTGATGGTGAAATCATATCATTTTTAAAGAATAAACCAACGACCATGAATATCGYTTATTAAGGGGCTAAGGATAGGCAATTTTTTTACATCCAAATTTGTTCGACGTGTTAGGCATTAGACATTACTACATTAGTGTTAGTACTATAATATTATATTTTATGTAGCTGTGTAGGTTGGTAATAAATATAATCCCTATAGCAATAATATTAAGGATTATGATTGTGTCGGTATCTACATTATTTGTCGAATTCAATTTTGAAAGAAATTTTCGACATTATATACGAATGTTAATAATAATCTAAAATGTTTTTTGTGCGAAATTAAATGCTGGGCAATAAGCATTTAGAAAACGGTTTTAAAATCTCCAATTTCTCGTATCGAAACATTTTTACAAACTAGATATTATAATTTTACATTTTAAACGTCTAATATAGTAACACGATTATAATATAATATTATGATCGGCATGGCCAGTGGTAACTCAAAGCTGGGAATTAACTAGTTAGAAAGTTAACAAAATAGTAACTTTCTAACTAGTTATTTTTCAGTTTATCGGAAACCATACACAAAATATTCCACCTATAACAATATAATATATAATTCYATTGAATTTCTTGTTTAACGTTTTAATTTTGGGTGCTCATGTCRAATGATTATTAATTAGTATTGGTGATCAAATTTTTAATGAAAAACCTTGTTCGACGGGTAACAAAGACTAAAATATTACTAAAAATCAAATTTAATATTGGTAGCAAAAAAGCTCTAAAAAAGTTTTYRCCTTGTTAAACTTATCATTATTTATATTAATTCACTTATTTTGACTGACTGTTTGGAACGAAATTATACTTTTAAATGCCAGTAATTCAACTTTTGGTAACGGTTTTTGATAGTTAGTTGATTTTAAGGTTGCAATAGGAGCTTATAAAGCCATAGTAGGAGAATTGTGTAAAACCTATTTGTAAGTTGTGACACTCAACATATTATTATCCACCTTATATCTATAATTTAGTAGGGCCCCAGAGAAAAATTTTGGCGGGGCGGCACTTACAACAATCGTTAAATTCGTCACTAGTATGATTCCAAATTGTTATTGTTTAATATTCATCAATACTGATATATATATATATATTTACTAATATAATTTCTAATTTTAATCTTTAAATTTTAAGTTCAAAGTATTAATTATAAAATGCTGCAGAAATTTTAAGACACCTATTAGCCAGTAACTTTTTTTCTAGTAAATTTTTCTATATTTGTCATCTCAGACATAATTTGCTTTAAATGAAAATTTCGAAATTTTCGGACATATACTTTAAATYGTATTTCAATGTATTATGGCTAACTTCAATTTTAGATTTTGAGCGGAACGATTAACAATTGTCAATTTTGATGATCTCTTCGTGTAATATATTGAGTAGATAATTTTTCTTTCCTATTGTCCATCTTGTTCTGTAGTCCCTAATTTGTTATTTGGACGTATTATTATTATTTAGTATTTATTTTCAATTGTTGTTTGAACAAAATTAAGCATAAAGGTGTAACACATAATGTATAATATATACTACACATATACACATACGTCATAATGTATAATATTAAGRAGGATGGAACGTGACATGTATTAAGGAGTAATATTTAGGAATTTCATATAGCATTTATATTTGATCTGTGTTTCTGTTTGAAAAGTTAGTGAATGTTAATATGTTTAATTCGTTAAGTCGAGACTCACCGTCACCACCCACATATGACATATAAATTGAGAAGGTACATATTATCAAATACCCATTTCCTCATAAAATTAGAAACATTTTTCTTTTCGATAAACAGTGTTAGTGACTTCAATCACCACGCTCATGTTTCTGATTTTAATTTTGAAAACAGATTTTAATTTTTTTCTAAATTCACTATGCTTTAACTTTTTTCCTATTCTACACCAATGTATTTAAATTTTAATTATGAATATGATATATTTTTACACTTTTGGTTAATAAATTTATAAGTAAAAAAAATTGTTAAAGCATAGATCATTAAGTAATGAATTAAAATTTATGTTAAAATTTATAGTCGGAATATGATATTGGGAGTTGCGATTGAAGTAGTGAGTTATATTTCCAAACGAAAAGAAGTGACGCTCACTCAATAACACTAGGTACATATACAAACGAGTACTTAAGTTGTGTTAATATTTTTTCCAAGATGAATACGATTATTTTTATGTTTACATTAATTATCTTAATAGCAATATAAGTATCATGAAATATTCTTACTTCTTACCTAGATATATTACTTACTTTGGTCTTTGATTGACAGCTAGTTTTAGMTGAGAATTGTTTTTCGCATGCATTGATCTAATCATTTTGAATTAAAATGTTCAACTCATACCGCATACTATGCGGCGCATAGGTATATACACATTTCACAGTGACTTAATCAATTACCAAAGGTACACTCGATACCTAGGTTTATAACCTAACCTAACCTAACCTAGGTACAACAGAGCAGTTCCCTTCTTTCTCTCGATTTTTTTTATTTCAAGTTAAAAAAAAAAAAAAAAACACCCGACTTTCCTGGGCTTGTCGTGACTCGTAAGCGGCAACCGCAACGACATATTATTATTAGGTACTATGGATAACTTCGTGAAGTTATTGCAATGCGTAAGACTCACATGGGCTTGGAGCCGGTGAGCCGCAACACGATGTCCAGCACGAATGCGGGAACGAAGTGGAACAGGATCTCGCACAGCCTGTGCACCATGCGGTTGGTACGGAACGAAAAGCCCGGATACCACTGCAAGTACTTGGACGGCGCGGTCAGCGAGTGGTACTGACACAGATTGCCCAGCTCCTCCCAGCGGAGCGGGTTCAACGCTCCGGACGTGCAGTTGTACACGCGGACGGCGTTTTGCCTGAAACACGGACGGACGATTAGTTACCTATGTCCAGCGTTTGACGAGTTCCTTATAAAAAGGAATTCAATCCTTTCAAAAAAAAAAAAGAAAATCATTCATTTGAAAAACAAACGAGTTCCTCTTCAATTACGAATAAAATAAAAATTCCTATTTAATCATACATTTTTTTCATACGAACAATATTTTTAAAAGACCACTTTCCGTTCCTCGTTCTTTTTTAATAAAAAGGAATTTGTTCCAGAAATCAGTTCCTTCCAAACACTGCCTATATCGGTTAGTATTATCATCTCATTATCGGCCGAAAGGCATATAGATAATAAAGAATGGATAGGCCATGTATGTGCTTATAACATATAAGGTGCTTCGTTCTTAGAGATCAGATATCTTCTTTCTCACAAAGGTGCCTAATATYATGTATTAGAAATCATAACCGCACATAGATAACAGAACAAAAAAGAAGCACCCACGTAAGTTTATTTRAGAACGTWCGTGTTTAGGACGAACGGCCTATCCATCATCCTTAATTATCTAAGTCGACAGTCATACCTAACCTAGCTCATCTGTGTTCGAGAAATGTTTTAATGCATTTTCTATAATAATTTCGTAATCATACATCATAATCAACGACARCGTATGAGTTAATTTGTATCGGCATAATAAAATTTAAATGATTTATTGCATACTTAATTTGAATTATGTGGTATTTTTTAAATATCAATAAAATTGCCTATACTAAGCTCCTTAAAAACCTATTCCAAAATGTACTAAAAATCAATCAAAAGAGTGATAATATTATAGTTCCATCTTTGCACAAAATTAAAAATAATTGGAGTCAGATCATAATTTAAGGTGCTTTTGCTATTAATAAATTATTATCCTAAGATTGTTTGATTGTAAGAATGCGTAAATGTAGTTACGAATATCTCGGAGGGGATACAGGTCTCTCATAAAGCCCTTACCACAAGGTCTGGTTTGACCGAAGATAGGTATACCAAAACATTTTTTGATAAATTATTTTAATTCTTTAKTTTTCATCACATGATGTTTCATATATTTTTGTCGAACGTTTAAAAATTAATTAAATATACTGTATTTGTATTAAAATATCTTGAACCTTATTTCTATGTTTTTTAGTGAGTAACTATATTAAAATTAATTTTAGTGACGGTGTCRCCATTATTCTTTGATCKCACCARTTATGTGTCACGTCTATATRAGTYTCTGATATTATAATTATTATCAATGCATTATAATTGATTTTAAATAGAAAAGCCTCACTAAACGTTTTGGAGCCATGTAGTGATTTTATGCATCGCACGATGGTACGGGGAAGACAGCGGTTTTGAAACACTGCTGTCATCCAAAGCACTTAAAATGGATGGACGCTTCTAGAAAATATGATAGGTTTAGCTATATATATAATTTTTATTGTAATATTGCATTACCGACGCCAGACTGCCTTGCTTTTATCGGAGAACAAAATACCGTTTGTTTAATACTAATATATATATATATACGTACACTGACAGGGGACCACTACAACTCACTAGACATGTGTTTGGGGACGTTCATTGTAGGTGAAACTTATACATAGATGTCATGATTACAGCTCGTGCCRACTTATAGGTTCATATTTCTATTAAGTGATTTAAATTTTTAATAYAATATGAACGTTACGRTTTTTAAATTTCTAGTATAATCGAAAATTTGGGCGATTATTTTTATTATCATTATTATTATAGGTACACCAATARTRKWKTTKRAAWTTTGATGAAATCTAAATTCGTGAAATTTCAGTTTTAATAATTTTTATTTTTATGGGTAATTGGCATAAATGACCTTCATAATTTACGATATAATTATACCTAATCTTTGGTATTACATTTAAAATGGTGCTTAACATTATTTTCACATGAACAAAAAAATATACAAAAATGTTTAAATGACACAATTTTATTAAGCTGAATATAGTGTAATAAACCATATATATATATATTATTTTCTTATTAACTTATACGTAAGTTGTAACGTTTAGATTGAAATTAAGATGATAAAGTATTRATCGAAAGATAACGGTGTAATAAATAATACAATTATATTTAGTCACAATTAATATCATCATTGCATCAACATTCGTCAATAAACCAAAAACCTAGTCGAAAACAGGACCTAATATACGTAGTGACACGCCAACCACAGCACTCATTGCATTGATGTAAAGATTTTACTAAAACTCAATGGCTATATAATTAATAATTCACAAATAATTATCCTTAATATTTATATTTAAAAAAATTTCAATGTTTCACGTTTTCGAGARATATTTTGTACTTAAAAATATACTAGTTACCTATATAATATAAAAAGCAAGAGAAACCAAGTTGAGTTGAAAGCTGTTAGAGAAGGTCGAGAAGTAACATTTTGTCGGTTATWAGGAGAAATAAACGAAAACATTGAGATAATAAATGTATTATAATATGGTGACTGTTGTCAATATAGTATTTAAATGACAATATGTTGATACCCAGTGGCATAACTGAGTAAAAAAGACTAGGAAGGAAGAGAAAAATAATTTACTTACTTAATCAAAACAATAATGTAATTGTTTGGTTTTTACACGAGTTAAAGCTCGTTTAAGGCTTAGAAACAAATCATAGGAAAATTCCTTCCTTGTTCCCTATCCCCCAAAAATATGAAACTATTGATACTAATAATTTGTGACATTAAAATAAAGAGGAATTTAATCAACCGTATTCCTTTACAGCCCAGCGATACAAATGCACATATATGAAGGCTAACTGTAAATATACGGAATTATTGAAAAAAAACCACCGACAAAATATATTAATGTATATAATAAGAGGTATTGGATCAATTTAATTTGAGAGATTACCCGTAGGCATCATATTATAGTAAGAAATTTTGAATTTAAAATAAATTTTATCACAATATTGAATATATACGACGCACCTTTTGTACATTTCAAAGTAAACGTCAAAAAAGAATCTGTTGCTCGGAATAAATTAAAATGACTACAATGTGAAAATAAATTTTAATATGAATAGTTTTTTATATATCTGCATGTCCAATTGAATGTCGTGGAACATTTTGCTGAATTAAAACTATATAAAGGAGGAAAAGTCTTGGGAAATCGACATAATATATACGAAGTAAATATATTCATAAAATCGCTTAGCACAAACTACTATTGAAAAAAATAATATGTGCGATGCCTTTTACCATGATATTACTTATCTACTACAATCATAATAGCAATAAATATTATGGTGAAATATTACTAATATTTTATTGGGTATTGGCAATCTAGTCTCAGGAAATTCAAAAAACTCGGATGATCGTGAAAACTGTTATATTTATTTAGAACTTATCAAGTATTTGGGTAATTTTATTGATCAGGTATCTTGTTGTCAACACATGTATTAAAATTAAAGAATTGAAAACTTTTTCATTTCGTTTTCAATTTTCATTACAATATATCAATATTATTGTACAATGTACAAAGGTTGTATAAAATTTGATCTAATTATTAGGTTCTTGTAGAATAAAAGTTTCTTAATAAAAGTTTAATAAAGGATAATTAAATAAAACAGCACACGGTCAACATTCAAAAGTACGATTTCTTGATCCTTAATGTTGTTTTTTTTTTAAAAAAAAGTGCACATTTTATCGTTCAATTTTTATTTAGATGAAAAATACCAACACTGTAGACAAGAAAGAGTATTTGAGCTGTGACTAAGAATCGAACTGCACTCTACTCTGGCGCAGTGAACCAGTTTTTTCTCTCGATTTTCGCTAGACCAACTACTAATCTATTATAAATGATCTGAGATTTTTATTTTGTATTTTACCTGTATGTGGCCGTGTGCCAGGCAGACGTTATTAGCGTGTTCACTAGAATGTCAACAGGTATGATGTCCACACGTAGTTTCTGATCACACACGATACTCCTGATTGTGCCCCGTCCTATCTCCATCATGATGCCCGTAATGCCACTCATGTTGTCTACCCACCCTTCGAACGGCTCTCTCCAAGCAGCAGTCACTTTGAACATAATTTTAAAGTAAACACCGTCATTATTGTTGCATAATATTTATTTTTATTTTCAAAGGTTTGGATATTGTCAAACCACAGATCGCAGTTTTACCACGAAAAATGTAAATCACTAAACTTTTAGATATATACGTTAAAAATTTAAATACCATTTAAATAGTAATTTGCTGTTTGTTTAAAATCATTGCCGTTATTTATTATTACGTAATTTATTAAACCAATTACGTAAAACAAAAAAACATAATAATATGTAGGTGCAGATCAATTGTTACTATTGCTTTAAAGTGCGTTTTAGCACTAATACAATTTTCATTATTCGAAAAAGGACAATATTATAAAAATGACAAATATGTTTTTGAATAATACATATTTTACAATTATTTAAGGAACACCATTTTTTTTTCCAAACAGCTGTCAGGTTTTAATTTCTGCAAATAGGTATTCCTTCATTTAGATTACAAAATCCGTCTCTTCACGCTTTCCTTGAAAAATACGCTTCACGACGTAAATTATAACACAATCGCTTAACTCTTCGATCGGACATTTACAATTTTATACAGATTTAGTATACATATATCAGCCATCACGCACGATCCATAATTCATACCTATGCTGGGCCTGACGATTGCAGCTGGTATGTCGTCCGCTTGTTCGGCGACCACCCACTCGGCCATGGCTTTGGTCATGGTATACGTGTTCGGGTGGTTACCCTGCATCCGCCGACCCATCTCCCGCAGGTCATCCTCGGACATCTTCTGGCAGCAGTTGATCACGAACCCGGGGTCGGCAGGTGGCTTGTACACTGACTCTTGAATCGTCATCTTGTCTGCATTCGAGTACGCTGTCGATACGTGAATCATAGCCTGCGATGACAATTATTATTATATTATGGCCTATAAGTACATATTATTATTATTATTTTGGTATATTATACTGCCATTATTAAAAAAAAAACAAAAAAAAAAAACATATTATAACATAAATCAACGGTCATTATCCTTTTGATTTCGTGTGTTCGTGTGTAATTGTCGTTGACACTTTACCGGTTATTTTTAACTACCTACACGGTCAATGAATCTGTTGCGACAATGTAACTATTTCCAGTTAGAAAAATTATGCATTAAATTGAAATCATATTCATGTTAAAACAAATTAGGTAGAAAATGATTTTTTTTTTGTTTAATAACTGTTAAATCCTTTTAAATGCATAAAAACAAATAAATATTCATTGATTTAACAATTATGTTAACACCAACATCGAATTACCTAAACGTCTTATACTTCTGAAGCAGTTTTGCATAATAAGCTTTAATATTAGAATGAATTGACTTAACGTCCAATTTAAAAATAAGAACATTGTTAGTGTTTTCTATACAATGGATTTTTTTACGATATTTTAATTTTAAAAATTATCAAAACTAACTAGTGCTTACAGTACTTTTACTGTAACAAAATCACGAGAAAATTGGAATAATAATGTTGTTTACTTAAAAAAATTGGAACTGCAACATGCTGTACATATTTTTTCATGTTATACGCTGTAAGTCAGATGAGACCAGACATGGTGTCCTAGCTCTTAAGTTTATTGAACTTAAAATAAGTTGTAGATATGACTAGATGAACCCTTAATTTGAAAAAAAAAAATTAAAGATTTTTTGAGATCGTTTTGCTGCACCCGCCACCCACACATCAATGCCGTCTATGAACACACGAATAAATTATTATTTGTATTTATACATATAGGTAACATAAATATTCTGGAGTCTGGACCTTGCAGTGAAATCCGTGTAATTGGTACATAAGTACCTACAAATATGAAGTTATATTGTTGTTACTCACACATTGTCAATATTAGGTGAGAATATTGTCAGTGTGAGTGTTGCTGTCAAGTTAGGTACTTATACTTAGGTTAAGTCCACGCTTCACCGACTCGTTTACTGTTACTGTGTTCGAAGTTTAAAAAAAAAAATGCAATCGATTGTGACTTATGATCAGTCGAATACTACTTTAGTGGCAATCGTCAAAACCGCACTGCTCTTTCAAAATATTTAAAAACAAAATATGACATCATCGTTCAATATTTCGCGCACATGGATAACAACACCACAACGTGCCTTACTACCGTGCTTTACTCGTATTCCCAAAACAGGCGATCCAATAACTTTTCAAATGACGGCTGCAATATCAATTTGATCTTTATCGTTTTATTGTTTTTTACTGTTAATATTTAATCGTTATTATCACGCGTAATGCTCAGTAGATAGTAAGTAAGTTTACTACATATAAATTTTACACAGTTTATTTATAAAACTGTACCTACTCAATATGGTAAACGCTTATTACGTTCTATGTKTTACATACCCCAGTGGTGTATTTATTGTGGAATGAGTAGAAGAGGAGAAGGTTTCCACTCCCAGGAAACATATTATTATATTCCTATTATATTTTCTGGAACTTTTGTAGAAAAAAAAATACCAAAATATTAATGTTATTTAAATGTAATCGGAACGAATTGGACAAAAAATAATAATAATAATAATAATAATAATAATAATAATAAAGTGAGTCGTCGTGGGACGCCTGGCAGATGTGAAACATCGAAATTATTTTATAAAGAAAATATGCGTTAAAATTGAAAAGGATGGTTTATTAAAGAAAACACACGTTGCTTAATCAAAAAAAAAAAACATTTTAGATTTTTTTAAGAAAAATTATTCTTTATTTTAAAAGGCGGACCCAATATAGATGTTTCGTGCTTTCCAGTTTCCGTGCACTATAGAGCGTATCGATGACACGCCAACAGCCGGTCTCATCTGCCGCATTAGATGTTTCACATCAAAAGCCAATATTTTAATATTTTTTATTTTCTAATCGATAAAAAATTTAAAGTAGAAAATGTTCTACAGTAGATATCTAATTACGTTTTTGAAGTTTCAAATATTTTCATAAGTTCGTGTGGCCCATATGCAACGGGATGTTTAAATCATTTATTAAGTCTACTGAGCAATTTTCATACATATTAATCTTTGGATTAGTTAAAAATTTTTTTTTTTGAATTCGTACGCTATATAATTAAATATCATATTATTATATATGTCTAAAATATACAAAATGTGTTATTACATAATTATTATGTTACCATTGGGTGGTCAGTCACTTTTTACAACAATAGAACAAGAGAAAATTTCTCCTTTAGAGTTGGCTTTTGAATACTTTGTATATCAATACAAAACCGATGTACACGTGAGGAAACGGAACTGCCCGTCGCACAAACGCTGTAGACGAATAATTCATTGAAATACTATCGAATATAAATACAATCGAAAAAGCTGTCACATAGCGTCACGAGAAAGTAAGATCATCATCAAGTGCGATTTGCAGATTTTATAAAATTTAAAAAAAAAACTGTATTATGTGGACGTATAGTCATATAGACATAAAAATCATAAACGAATGATCGTCTACACTGCTATACAATTATAATAATAGTATAGGTACATTAAAGAGAATATTATTAAACACAAAAAAGTTCCTTGGCATTAACCAGTTAATAATAAGTCAAGTTTATTTTATAATATATAAACGTCGTGCAAAATTGGTTGTACACAATAATTGTCAACTCGACTTTTACCACTTATTTTATTTCTATACCGCGTTGGCTCAAAACTATCGCAATATTTTATTTTTTCATTTGTTCTAGATGATTAAGTTAATTCAAATTGTTTTTACTTCTAAAGAAATAGTTTTTCGGTTTTCTCCTGAGTATGAAAATCACGTTATTTTATGTTACTGATTTTTAATTTAGATAAATATAATAATCTGCCTTTTCCCGAATATAAAGGACTGTGCAGCGCATTGTCTAGAGATTCCACAAAAGAGACAGCGTTTTCAATTCATTTTCAGACTTTCAGTAAGTTTTCGCCATTAATTCGTCATCGACGGATGTATATGAAAAAAATCTTCTTCCGGGTACGTACCTTTAACTTTGGCATCGACCGGCACAGGTCGACGACTCGTTGCGTGCCTAACGTGTTGAGTGTGACAGCGGTGCGGAGGGTTTCGTTGAACTTGACGGTGGCCGCCGAGTGAAAGACGATTGTCACGTCCGAGCACAGCCTTTGCCTATCCTCAGTACTCAAGCCCAGGCCGGGGTCGGATACGTCGCCATTGATGCACACCACTTTCTCGAACGCTTTTTCCGCATCGTCTGTGGATCGAATGCGATCAAACACCTGCGCAAGAAAAACCACAAATCCCGTAAATATAAAATATGATATTAAGTGGATACCTAGCTACAATCTATATTACACATTATCTTAAAATACCAAATTAATTAAATGTTCAAAAATATTGCCTAACACACTTTAAAATAATGACCATGTTCTTGGCTTCAAGCTAAGCTGCAATCTGGACCCAACTGCACACATCGAATACGTATGTTGTAAAGCTTTAAAAACTCTTGGTCTTGTCATCCGATTAATAAAGGACTTTCGGCTTGTATCATCATTAAAAACACTTTTCTGCGCTCTTGTGCGTCCYATTTTAGAATATGGGACCGTACTTTGGAACCCACATACAGCGGATAATGCAAGGCAAATTGAGCGTGTTCAGCGACGGTTCCTGCGCCACGCTAGTCATATTCTTAAGATACCTTGTCCACCTCACGACTATACACCGATTGCTGTTCATCTTGGTCTGGCCCCCTTGGCCGAACGTCGTTATGTTGCAGGTTTAAAATTCCTTGCGGGCCTTTTAAACAACAATATAGATTCTCCAGTCCTTCTCTCTCAAATCTCCATTAAAGTTCCATCCCGTCAATCCCGTTCAAAGGATTTCTTCTATGTCCCACACGCCACCACCAACTATATGGCTAATAAGCCTTTAAGACGCCTAATGTCGTCTGCCAATGCAGAGCCTTCCTTCGACGATTTGCTAAATTTGTAAAATATTTTTTTTTTATTTATTTTTTTTTTTCAACATATTAAGCTATTATTGTCATCAGATATACATATTCTATATTAATGTAAATTGTTTAGATCTAAGTTGCTTTATCTGATTGTAAAATGTCTAATGTAAAAATATATATTGTAATGTAAAAGGGCCAAAGCMCGTATAACCAATAAAATAAAATAAAATAAAATAATACAACTCTACTACCTATTCGGAGTACTCTTAAATGCGYACATCTTTATTCTTGAAAAATGATATGATATAAATTAATAATTTTTTTATTATTCATTTTAGCAATTAAACTATATATTAGTTTGTATTAAAATGTAATTTACACATAATAATGTTGATGGTTGAGAATCAAATTATTAATGTATATTTTAAATATTTTATTCCCAATGTATTATATGCTTTGAAAATTACTTACMCTTCTTTTTTTACATATATAAATGTTCGTATTATAGCTTGTTGAAAATTGTAGTTCTAAAGAAGTGCAATATAAAGTTGATTATGAAACTGCGTAGCCATTTGATAGAACTGAGTATTAAAAGTTTAACGATGTGTAAGCTATAAAAACTTCAGTACCTACTACACAAGGTGTACTTAAAAAGAAAAACGTGACACATAAAAATTAAAAATTAATGTAAGTTAGATCTATGAAAAAAATATGAAATTTACACGGATAATAAATAATTTAAGATTAASCTATATAGATACCTACGTCTGAAAATTATCAAAACAAAAAAATAAAATAAATAAATAAATACATTTTGCAAAAAGTATGATATTAAAAAAAAAAAAAAACTATATGACTAACATCTTATTAGATCATATACACTGGATAGAGCTATGATTTAAAATCTTGAAGCATAGCAGTTCGAGCCTGAAGTCATCATTGAGCATGCGCAAAACTATTTTATGATAAGAGATTGTCCGTCGTGAGATTAGGTTAATACCAGTACCTAATCAGTAATCACTAATCAGTAATCACACATTACTAGTTCCTACCCCGTCCCGCGCGATCTATTTCATTTTTAACGCATGYGCAATAATTACATCGGACCCGAAGAGGTCTGCTTCAAACATGGACTCGCGAGATATACGCTATACCTTTATCCAGTGTATATGATCTAAGACTAACCCCTAACATCAACGTTTTCACCATCAACATTTGTCTAAATATCAGATTACAAATAGGTAGGCTATTTTTAATTTATCAACAAAAATAAAAAATTTAATACAATTTAAAATTMATTTTATTTTCTATATCAAAAAATAAACAAATGTATACTGCACATGTAACATAAGACTCTTTTTTATATTAATTACGACAAAATTTATATTTTTTAGGTTATTCAGTCACACCTTGTATAGGCAATTTTATAGCTGCAGTAATATTCGTAGGGATATAAATTGGTGTTGACTATGTTCCAATTCACAACAGTCAATAAAAATGAGTTTTCGATTAAAATCAATTGAAAGTCGATATAAAGGATATGTACCTCGTTTGTTCGTATATATTACATAATACATGTATGCACCAATGCACCCTCTCAGGATGGAGAAGAAACCGAGACTCTGGGGGTGCGGAACATTAAATTAAATGTACACAACACAAACATTTTTTATGTTGTATATTTTTTAGATACACCTATTATCACTTATCATTCACAACTGTATACCGGATGATTAATTTAATGTACGACACTTATTAATCAGAAAGTATTAATGTTTTTGAAAATATTTTTTTACACGGTTTCAAATTATTACAACTACAAAATATTATATGTTTATTACTCTTGTAACTTTTTAAGTTTTTTTTTTACTTTTTTGAATATTATAGCATACAGATTTAATTTCATTATAGAAAGCAGAATACTTTTCCTAGTATTTGGATACATAAAAAATGAATTCTTCAGGATGAGTAATTTATAAGTTATAAATTTATAAGTATTTAAAATACAGATGATTCGATTGGTGTGCTAACATTATGCGGGATATTATCACTCCACTCCACTCATGTAAATTTTAAACATTGAAGACTGAATGTTGCCATTTCAACAAATAAAAACCTAAAACATATCGAAGATATTGTTTTTAACAACTAGAAGAAAAATAGTAACTATAAATATATTTTTTCAAAAACAATTATACTTTTTAAAATAATTAGTGTTCAATGATTAAAAAAATAGCCTGTATAAGTATAAAATATCCATCATTTCTTAATGTTAAATTATCATTTAGGGATACATTAATATATAATAATATTATAGGTATTCAATAAAAAAAAAAGATAACGTGATGAATAAAATTATCTTCAAAATCGTATATTATGTCTCTTAAGACACTATATTATTACCTAGGTACCCGGTTACTTTGAACGCAACGAACTAGAAATTCACAATTTCCAAAGAGTAGTAGTAAGTACTTATATGATTTTCCTCTTAATTATTTACAACTTTTAACTARCAATGTTTATAATATATAATGATCATAATATGTTTCGGATTTTGTCATAAGTAGTTGGTCCCGCTGTCATGTAGGTATAGCGTTTTGCATGCTGCGTGCCAGCGTTATTTAATGTTTCGAGGGCTGCCTTTACAAACATTATAAACTTCACTTGAAACTTCTTGCAAAATGTGCGTCTGACACCGATCATCAATATTTATGTAATGAACATTAAACATACTTGATACACATAACACAAGACAACATGACGTGGTAATACTTTTACGTATAACATATAATATTTTATGCCGAAATTATGTAAACAATATAAAAAATACTAGCACGTTCGACCTAATCGCGTGATTATCTAATCTCGGCTAAATATCAAAATATCTAATCAGGTCTTACGCATAACGCATACATAATATTATTTAGTATTGCAGAACAATGTCGGTATCGTCGTTTCGATGTTATTAGGTACCTACATATAGATGGAAATATATATAGGTTGGTATTATTATTAATATTTCGACAATAAATCAATTAAACATTTTTTTTTTTAGTTAGCACTAACTGTAGGTACAGCAAATATGAATAGCCCAGTATAACTTATATTTCATTATTTTATTTCCACGTATTTATTTTAATTGTTATTTATTATTTATTGAGCTCGTATAATATTAAATAATAAAACCATACAACTTTTTATTATGAATGTAAACAAAATCGCCAATGAACTTATTTTCATTTATACGATATTGGTATCGATATAAATGTATGAAACTATATTATATATCGTTACCTAAAAAAAATATCGTACTGCATCACTAATAAGATATTATACAACCAATAATCATAGCAAGCAGTTTCACCTCAGCTGTCCATTATAGAGACACTACATATAATATATATATATTTAGTATTAGTCCTTGCATTGCATCTAATGGGCATTATATACACCCTCTGCCCACCATAAAATAATAATGCGTCGGTTGTTCTGGAGTCTGGATAATACCAAAATGACGCCAACACTATTTGGGATTAATACTAATATACATTATAATTTATAATATAATACACAATAACAGTGTGATGCGATCGGATTACGGTGCACTCTCGTCCTAATAAGCCATAATGATACATGTAGGTATTCGGTTCTTCCACCCACGCCTCAATAAATTTTCCACGGAAAGTCGCGGAGTCTGAAAAACTGCGAGCGTCTATTATATTTCACCTATCAATTGTTGTGTTTTACTGTTTATTGAAAACATGCAGCGGTTTACCCTGAGAGGGGTGATGGAAAGAACTTTTTTCGCGGCGATGTTTTTGGTCTTCTATAGMCTTTATCGATTTAATACATACATTAATTTTCTGTGTTGAATATGTAATACAGTGCTGTTTAAATATGACTACAACTTGTAGACAGTATCGTGAACAGTCATAGGTCGATTTATCGAGCTGGGTGACGATGTGGAGTTTCTATAATACTCTATATCAGGGATGGCAAATCCATGGCCTTGCGAAAAGATTTTGAGTCGAGTACCATGCGGAAAGAAAAATTCGTTATACTGAGAAATGAATTAGAAGAAATTCAGTGTGATAGGGCGATAGGTAAATTGATCGTAAACATAGGGGACAAGATTTTGAAAGTGTGGAATGAAATTCCAAAAGATTATTCCACTTTAAAAATAGTAGCATATGCTGTTTTGAATATTTTTTCTTCAACTTATTCATGTGAGTCATTATTTTCAGAAATGAATTTTATAAAATCTGATTTAACAAACCGACTAACTGATGAATGCAGTGCCGCATGTACTTTATTAAAAGTTACTAA